TTATATCAGCTCCCTTTTATCCCCTCCCTACCCCATTCTATCCCTCAGGTAACCTTATATATACCAATACACCTATATTTATCTATTTTTATACTTACATATATACATAGTTATGTTTATACCTATATATAATATATATAAATATATAATATAATATATACTTTTATTTTCGTATTCTTTCCTCTTTTTCTTGTTTCTTTCCTCCTGCCCCACTATCATGTTTACCCATCATTCCCCTGTCAGTAATTCCTCTCTGAAACATTTCAACTGATCAACACGACCAGAAACGCTACACCTCAACATCAATTTTAGATCCCTTGCTGTTCCCCTGTCCCTGTCATTATTTGTTCATCGCTCCCCTCCCCCCACCTCCTCCTCTCCCATGTCCCCACAAAACTATTGGTCCCGTTACTGTCTCCTTGGGATTGCTTATCCTGCTTATCTTTATAGAGAGACATCAAGAGTGAGGGGGGTGGGTGGGGGGGGGGGGGCCATATATATAGTTCCAAGTCTGTTGCCCTGACCCAGAGCAAATGAGTATCCCTCTGTAAATAGTGAACAGGCCCTACTATAATCCATCGGTCCAATTCCCTTTTCTTCCAGGGATCCATATCCCCGAAACCACTTGCCTAACAGCACTTAGATCCTTTTATCCCTCAGCATTCGTGTCCGAGGGGTGCACTTTCTACAAGACCCCATTGCTCATCCTGCAATCAAGGATGGAGCAATCTACTGCCCTACTCCCCACTCCATTGCACCATTAGACTTTCAGTATGTCCCCCTTTTGCATATCCCCCAATCAGTTCAGATGAGGTGTCAAGTGCTGCCCGTCCAGTTGGAAGTCTACAATTGAGCTTCCTCAAGGACTTCGTGGCTTTGCTCCCATTGCTGATCTGGTGCACTCCCATGTGGTTTGCCCCATCTGGGTGGGTCAGACTGGCCTCACTCCCCAAACTGTATTTTCAATGCTGTCCTGTGTAGCGCTGTTGTCTAGGGAGGGAATATCATGTCTCCAGCTTAAACCTGTCCTGGAGTCCTTTCTGTGAATAAGATGTTCCAGGCAGTAATGTCACCCTCAAGACTTGGTGCATCGAAATGAGGTCTACTCTCTCTCCCTTTTGTATGGAGACATAAACAATACCCGCCCCTTGGGTGGATTAGTGCTCTGTACTCCCATTCCCATCTTTTATTCTTCCCACCTCTCTATGGGCCATAGAGGCATATGAGGGGTGCGAGGGTGGAAGATGTCATTCCACTCAGGTGCTATCTGCATCTCTAGTTTGTTTGGTTTTTTTCTTTTCTTTTTCTTTCTTTCTTTTTTTTATGATCTATGCATCATTGTGTTTGGTCTGATTCTTGCCAGAGAATCTGGTCCTCAGCCCAGGCAGAGACAGTCTTTTAAAGGTGTGAAGGCTAAGGATACCCACCATGTTATTACACCCTCAGAGTTACCCATAGAAACCCTAAAATTATTGGCAAATACTCAATGAGAAAAAAAAGTGGATGCATTAAGTAACAATTTTCAAATTCTAGGACTTCAGTCTTTCAAATTCTAGATTCTCTACATAGCAAAGATGGGTTTGATTGGTGCAAATGATTTGCGCTCAGTTAAGAACCAGAAGATTAGTAGTCTGAACCCACCATGTAGCACTAAAGAAGAAAGACCTTCAGATTCATTTCCAAGAAGATTACATCCAAGAAAACTATGGAACACAGTTCATTTTGACATACATGGCATTACCATGGGTAAGATTGACTTACCAACAACAGGTTTGGCTTTGGTTTAAGTAGGGTAAAGTCATGTCACTCCAAGAAGTCCAAGAGACATTCTGTAGCCACAGCCAAGAAACTGGCCTGGCTGAAGAACTGTATCCTAAGTCCTCCCTTACCATGAATTGTAACCTGCTACTTCCCTAATAAACCCCAGAACCATGAAATTTTTATGTAAGTTCTGTGTAGATGTTACAATGAATTATTGTACTCAGCAGTGAAGTGCAATGACTTGGAGTCAGAATTAGTAGGAGATTGGGAAAAGGTAGCTTGTCTACCCTCTGCATAATGGAAATCAGCTTAAGCTATTGAATTTTATCTTCCTTCCCTCTTTGTGAAGTTAGAGGAAGTATTTGTATACCTCTTCAGGCCTATTATTTCAAAGCTCATAAAAGCCTATTCCAGAGTCGTGGGAAAAGACTTTAGCATGATGGAGAATAAATGGAGCTTATCAAGGCTCCCCTGCCCAGAATTCAGTGTCTGCACATATCTCCAGGATCCTCTCCCACTTTCCCAACACATCCTGTGCTCTAGCACATCAGTTATCCTCAGATGTGCCTCCTCTGAACCTCAAGGATTACTGCTTTCTCTGAAATGCTCAGATATGTCAATGCTCAGTCCATGTGTATACACACAGTTACTACTCTTTGAGGCTCCACTTAAACCTCTCATGTATTATGTACCAAGGTGAGCAAGTACTACAACTCTTTCTTCTACGTATCCTGGACTTTCTCTCTTCTATTATACACCACCTTGTTTTGTGCTTTATGGATAATTTTAGTACATGGTCATCATGTAACATTGCCTAGTTGTTTGTCTTAGTCTGGGCTCTCTAGGGAAGCAAAACCAGTAGGTCTGCTACAAATACTTATAAAGGAGGGAATTTACTTCAAGGAAATGACTCATGTATTTGTGAAGAATGGCTCACTCCATTGTGAGGACTGGAAAGTCCCAAATCCATAGGTTAGCAGCGAGACTGAAGACTCATAGCATTGCAGGGGCTGACCAATTCAAGATCTGCATGTCAGATAATACATCAAAGATTTCTACAGATTAGCTTTCCAGAACCAGAGATCGGGCAATGAGAAGACTACAGGGTCAAGAAAGAGTGAATTTTGCCAAAACATCCATTTATATATTAGAGGAAGGCCACATCCCCAAAAATCTTCTCTTCAAACTTGTTCATATAAGATCACAAAATTGAAAATGATTACACATTTACCAAACCATTGAGAATTATAACAACTAAATTGACATATAATACTAACCATCGTAACGGCCATGCACCATTTTCACAATCATTGGCTTACTGAATCCAGTTACAGCCACTGTACATTTTGAGGACATTCCAAACCAGGGATCTTGATTTCTAGCACTGTATGGGAAAATACATTGTAATCTATAAATGTTTCATTGGACAAATTTTAGACGTAGATTCACAGTCTCTTTCATCTCTTTCATCCTAGTCTTTGTTCGTCTGAAAAGTACACCAAAATCCTTACAAGGTGGGTAACCCTGCTAGTATGTGGAATACCAATGGTACAGCTATCAGCATCGCAGCAATGGTCGCATCGTTGCAAAAGGACAGACTGAAAGACAGGTGATGGAAAACACCATAGTATTGTTATTATAAAGCAAAAAGAAAAATTAAATTTCATTGTTGTTGTCTGGTGCTATTAAGTGGGCTCAGACTTACAGGGATCCTATGTATAAGAGAACAAACACTGCCTGGTCCTGTACCATCCTCATAATTGCCCTTATATTTGAACCCATTGTTGCAGCCACTGTGTCAGTTCATCTTGGTGAGAGTATGCCTCTTTTTCATTGCAAGCATGATGTGCATTTCTAGGAACTGGTCTCTCCTGACAACATAGTCAAAGTATGTGAGAAAAAGACTCATGAATCAATCCTGGAGCCTTGTTTTTGGCTAATGTTTACAGAGTAACTTGAACTTATTCCTTCAGCACCATTGGTTCTTGCGCCTATGCTACATGCTGAAGTAGTGGAATGCGAACTAGTTCATTTTGGTACAGTGATTCTGTGTTTTCTTTTCATCTTCTTTTGATGCTTCTGCATCATTCAATATTTTGTCCTATAGAATCTTGCAATGTTATAAATCAAATTTTTCTTGATTTCTTTCAGTTTAAGGTATGCTGAACATGGTTTACCTCTTTTGTTTTCCAACTCTAGGTCTGTACATTTCATTGTAATATTTTACTTCTGGATATGCACTTTGAAATGTTCTATTCAGCTCTTTGACTTCATCATTTCTTCCATTTGCCTTAGCTACTCTATGATTCACAGCAAGTTCAGAGTCTCTGCTGACATACATTTTGATCTTTTTTTTCCTTGTTGTCATCATTTTTATTCACTTTCTCTGTTTGAAAGTAAGAGTCAACATACAATATAGAATCTCTTTATATATATTATTAGCTCTAGCGGCTGCATGGCCCGGAAACTAGCTCAACCCCCGGGGCTGGCCTCCAGTCCCGACACTTGCTGAGTGGGGAAAGAAGTGTCTGCAAATGCCAGAAAGCGCAACCTTTCTTTATTGCTCACCAGCAGGGACAGGGCAACCAAATGCCCTGTGGGATGCAGGAATTGGGGGGTGGGGC